TTCCTTCAGGATTATCGGTCTTTTGCCGATTCCCAGCAAATCTCGTGTTTCTAAACACCCCTCATCTAAATTTTCGACACCATAGGCCCTAAAAGGTTCAGGAACACTGGTGTATACTATTGTACTCACATACACGTACGCATGTTGCATTCCCTTATTATGATGATGCTAAGGGTATTCGCCCATGTTTTTAATTTTGGATGTGCTTTTTCAGTGATCGGCTGGGTTTATTCCAATGCTAGCCTCTACTTTATCCAGGAATTATCGTTGTACAGGGTTAAAGTAATGCTGTAATTTTCGAAAGTTGCTCAAAGCTGGCGCTCCTTCTTTCAAAATACAGTATGGCAGATTAGTAATCTACTCAAGGGAGTCGAAGCGTCCTTATCTAATCTTGAAAAAAAGTGGGATTGAATGGCTGAATAAGCGCTGGGACAAAAAGTTGCCGGTGTCAACTCCCTATACTTTACCATATATAGAAAGGATGCATCCATTTCCACTTGTGAACCGGTATTATTTATCCAGCTCATTACTGGATTAATCTATCCAAATAAACTCAGCCATATCGTGCACGCACCCGAGTTTACCTCTATACCGTATTAGCCTTTTATTTTTCAACACACAGCCGGTTGGGATTCATATGTTAGGGTACGTATTACATGGATGAGGAGCACTTGAAATTGGTAAAGGTTTCCCTGCCTCGCATGACCTCTACCTGTAAAACAGGGGAAGAACAATGCTGCATGATGGGTGTGCTAAGCTGCTCATGAACGGGATCCAGCACCTAATGCTTGTCGAAAAACAGGTTTCCGTGGGTTTCACTCAATGCCGCTTCACGTGGTGGAGATTTCAAACGCTTTGTTAGCCTATACAGTACAGTACTGTAATCACAAGACTGAGGAAAAGATACCCAGTCCTTCACGTACGGTGTCCGTGCATCTCTTCATAATGAAGGGAGAATGTGTTCGTGGAACTCATTGCAGGTGACGCAACCGCCGTGAATGTGAGCATCCAGTCATTGGCGTCAGTTTCATCCGCGAGCGACCTGACTTCTCCAGTGTGCCCCTCTTTCAACGCAGAGGAGGTCGAAGAGAACTGCGGGGGACAACAGTTAGTACATTAATTCATTATCCCATCCCGATTCTTCATTTTTATCTCAATTTTTTTTTCTTTTAACCTGCATCGACCCAACGCGTTGCGGTGAAATCAGCAGTGAGAAACTGGCCTTTACTCGAATACTGTTCGTCATGAAGGCAATATGATGATTTTCTCCTTTTTTTTCAAATCCGAAGTACAGTACAGTACTCAAATCAAGGCGCGATAGGGAGACAACCCTCGTACAAATCTGCGCATTATTTCCTGGGTATGGATACTAAAATTCATTAAAGTTTGCCATTCTGAGTGTCAATATAGTCCAGTTATTACCGACGTTCGCAAAATCGGGAATGTTTTTCAGCTTTTTCCCGGTGTGCGTGCTTCAATTGTCGTGCGTTATCCTACCGATAGGTTCATCCTTCCTTATTGGCATGGATCATGCCTCAGGCGCGCCATTAAAGCTTACGTTTGAATAAGTTTTCATGATGAATATCTTGTTTTATTCCAAGATTCTTAGCGAAAAGGCATTTTTCATGAGAATACATTAGACCTAAATAAACCTGCCGACATTACCCGTGATTTTATTGCTTTAGTTCCGGTTTAAAAAAAAAATGAAATAGTAATGTAATAATATTTTGAGTGCTAGGATCATGGCGTCAACCACCTGGTGATGTCTAATACAGTACATTACCTGAATCCCCACGCGAGTAGCCGTAAATCAGGACTGTGTACTGGAACACAGTCCTTTGGAATTGTCGATCTTCGCGTGAATCGAGGGGTGATTCATTTGTTAATCGGGGATTACGACGTGTGGAGAGAAAATTACGCATGGGGAAAAGTTGAAAGCTCTTTCGGGGATCTCTTCCTCCCATGGTGAAGAATTTCCTTCCACTTGATGATGAGGATTGAGAAAGAAAGGGGATGGATTGGGACTTGGCACATACTGTAGTTGGACTTTCTGCAGAAATCCATCTCCTTTTCACAATAACACTGTGCTGTACATGCCTTCACCGCAACGCGTGTACTACTTTTCAATTTCGCGGAAGCCATGTGCATCAGGTCCTGGGGTTTTGGGCAGTTTTATTTTATTTTTTGCCCCGTTGCGATGTCCACAAATTTGATTGAGGATCAGTCACAGCACTGTTCGTTTTTGAAATTTCCGAAAGGACTACTGTACTTTGAGTTGAGTTGAATTTTTGTGTTGGAATTATTGCGACAGCGCTCCGGCTGCGCGATGGCACAGCTTCCAGCAGACTGATGCCAGCAGCCAGCACTGGAACTTTCCTTTTCTTGGGCCGACGAGCAGTGCAGTGGCGACGCTTTCCGTGGGTCAAATGCTAGTCCTGCGGAAAGTGGCGCTATTCCGCCTAACTGCCCTCATGGAGAAGCATCGCACGTCGTTGAAGAATCCCAGCTTTATTCATTGGGACCTGCCCAAGTTCATCCGGCGAATGAAACCGCCGGAATATAAAGGTGAGAATATGTCCAAGTTATTTATGTTTGTTCGTGTTTATATTATCGCTGCTGCTGCTGCTGTTGAGTTGCATCAACAACGTACATGATGTGTGTGTTCCATTGTACGTGTCACACGTATATACAGTACTGATATATATATATATATATATATGGAGGATCAATAGTTGTTGTTGTTGATGATGATGATTTTGTCTGCATGGTGTCTCCCGTCCGGCGCCGTGAAAGATAAGCGGGTGTTTGGTGTCCCGCTGCACGTGGTGTTGCAGCGGACGGGCTACCCGATCCCCGCCGCCATCCTTGCCGCCATGTCCTTTCTGCGTCGCGACTGCGTGGACGCCGTGGGGCTGTTCCGCAAGTCCGGCGTGCGGTCGCGGATCGAGAAGCTCAAGCACATGTGCGAGTCCGAGCCCGAAGGCGACTTCAGCACGGCGTTCGACGGCCAGCTCGTCTACGACGTCGGGGACATGGTCAAGCAGTACTTCCGCGACCTGCCGGAGGCCCTGCTCACCAACAAGCTTTCGGAAACCTTTCTCAAAATCTTCCTGCGTACGTCGGGCACGATGATGCTTCATGCTGCCTTTATTTTTATATTAATTTTTTTTTAAATCAAATTCGAGTTGGCCTTCATTTGTGGTGATTTTCCAGTACTGGTGTTGGGGCGGGACTCGAACTATGTATGCACAGTACAGTACAGCAGGATCTTGTATATATATACAGTATATATATATAATTCTTCTAAGAATAAAAGTTAGATTTAGTTTCCGGGCAGCTATTACTGTACTGTATATCGATTCGGTCACGGTGTATCGATTGCGGCATCATGAGCTGCCCACTGCTGTGCATTATACATCAGCATGAGTTTCGTCAGGAATGATCAAAGCGTCTCATCATTCGCTTTTTAAATTTATTGTATCCAAAGAAATGACTTTTTTTTGTCTTCCAGCTCAGGTTATATGTAGTAATCAAGGTCATTCGCGCATTACAGTATTAAAAAGTGCAGCTTAATCTAGAAATATAGCTCAGTAGTAAACGTAAATCATTGTTGCTGGCGATGAACTTTTCCGTATCATCCGGGTGCTGTTGCTGGTTGTTGCAACCGAGCAAGTTTTTCGATTCAAATTTGGTTTCAAATAACCAGAGAATTTTCCATGTTTTTATCGTGTTCGAAGGATTTTCAAATGTACGTATAGGACTCATAATACACCAGGATTCCTATGCTGGAAGTTATTTTGTTCTTTTCAAAAAGCGATGTTGCTTTCAGCGTATCAATCATGTGTAAGTTCGGTTGGGAGAATGATTGATGTGCTGATTTGGTTCGGTTGTACGAGTATGCAGTACTGCACAGTATACGGCAGCAGCGAAATGGTGATCTAGAACGAAAACATAAAAGATATATTTTGTACAGTACAGTATGCGCAAATGATGCATACATGTTCGGTGCTGTACAGCATGCAGATGTTCCCTCGTTTAGTCGTCCGACCATCAGCAGCAGTGCTGCGTACAGCATGCCGTATAGGCGTGTATTATACGCATTTGTCCAGTATTAATCAATAGACTGCATACGTATACGACAGTACAGTACTGACTGGTTATATTGGAGAAGGGCAAATATATTTGTATTCTACTCGCACAGACTTGCCGGTGGAGTGTCGGGAGGAGGCAGTGAACGCTGCCATCTTGCTGATGCCGGACGAGAACCGCGAGAGCCTGTTCACGCTGCTCACGTTCCTCGACGAGATCGCGTACAATTCAGCCAAGAACCAGATGAACGCCGCCAATTTGGCCGTCTGCTTTGCGCCGTCTCTGTTCCACCTGGCTGGCGGTCACTCATCGAGGTCCGGTTCGCCGTCTCCAGCACGCAGTCGCGGCGGCAGTCCGAAATTGGGCGCCAAAGAGACCGGCGTTGTTGGACAGCAGACCTGCGGGATGGTGATGTCGGGCATGCCGGATCAACGGGATCTGATGGAGCAGCGCGCGGCGCACCAGTGCCTCGCATTCCTCATCTCCAATTGTCGCAAGCTCTTCACGGGTGCGACTATAATGAATAATGATGTGTTCATCATCGTGGATCTCGTCTACGGATATATACCCTGCACAGTATAGTTTATATACATGATGCCCTCTAAAGTCTATAGTCGATGCAATATTACCGTTCGTATATTAGGCCTGATCCACGCCGACTATTATACTGTACACACAATACATCGTAGGAGGGTTATTGTCCCAGCTCTGATTGACCTTGTGTATTTCTAGAATATAGGTGTCACTTTGAAACAGAAAAATTTTTTAAATTGAGCCCGTGCAATCAGATAAGGTTCTGGGATTTTTTTTTTCAGGTTTTTATACAAATTTTTACATTTACTGCATGATGGGTAAGGGAAAACATTCTGGTTTTGGAAGGGGGCCAAAACCACTTTTTCCACTGATGTCAAACATTTTCCAGGCCAGATAAAAATTGTATAATGTCATGTGGTTGTCAGCCCAAAATGTCCTACGTTTCGCGTACTTTTCAAAATTTTCAATTAATTCTTTGTTTGCAAAAAATGAAAACCCAAGTCAATTCTGCATTTTTCCAAGAGCAGAAGTTCATTTCCAATATATATTTATCGAGTTCCTCTTGAAAAAGATGATCCAAGGCCTATATTGATATCCTTCTTGCTTCCTAAACTTTAAAGAACTTGAGTTTGTTTTGATCATCTGCCTCAAAGTGTAGGTAAGGAGAAGTCTGCCCGAGTCTGGTTAGATCTTTTCCATGTTGGTTGATCGATTTCCTCTCGAATACGAAGGGTCCTTGCCTGGTTCTGAATGAATCTTATCGTGTCCTTTTCTTTTAACCCAGGAGAAGAAGGCATCAGTTCTAAATCGTGAATCATTGCTCACTCTGAAGTTTTTTGTTGAAATTGCAATAGCTCTGGTGCATTTCTATTTTCTGTCTGTTACTCATCTTGATAATAATGATGGAATTAAAAAAAGACAGGGATAAAAAACATTTAATTCGAAGAAGCAAGAAGAATATCCCTGCAGAAACTAGGCCTCGCATCATGTTTTTCAAGATGAAATTGAAAAAAAATATTGGAAATGAACTCTTGCTCTTGGAAAAATCCAAATGGACTTAGGTTTTCATTTTTTTAAACGAATCCATTCATTGAAAATTTGAAAATTACGCGAAATGTGGAACATTTTGTATCTGGCCTGAAACGTGTTCGACAGCATGTGACATGAGTGGGAAACCCTGGCAAAAGCAAGAAAGTCATGACCTACCATCACGTAGTGAATCTAGGAATGTGTAAAAAATTCTGAAAAAGTTCCAGAACCTAATCGGATTGCATGGGCTAAATTAGACAATTTTCTTTTTCAAAGCGCTGACACCTATATTCGAGATAATGCACAAGGTGAAGCAGAACTGGGACAACCCTCGTTTGAACGCGCGTGTGCATGCAGTTGACGTACTGCTATAAAGCACATTGCTGCGAATGCATCCCAGCAGCAGTGTAATGCTGTTATACATCATGTTGAATAATCCTCACAGCAACAGTAAAGCAGTACTTCCTTTTATACAGATACGACGAGTGATTCTTTCGTCTTGCGCTTACTGCAGCACATGCTGTGTATATAGGAGGAAAGCATAAGAATGCTCTCAACTCTCAAGAGTTGATAGTGCTGAAAAACAACAGCAGTGAAACACTGAATGTATATTGCATTCATCTTTGGTGAACCGCGTCATCTATCAATTGATGCATTTTTAAATGTTGCGGTGAGGACGAGAAAGGAGAACCCCAGCAATCAAAGCCAAAACTGCATTTATACAGCTTTGATTCATGATTCTGCACAACAGCAGAACCATTTATTAGTGCCATGCGATTCGCTGTGATTTTCCCCGACGAAGGAAAAGCATCCGTATAGTTGAAAATTCGTAGAGATTTTTCTGTTTTTCGTCTCACTTGTGCTTTTATTCTTCTTTCATCCATATGTAGTTCCACTGAAACTGATGTCGCACTGCGAGTTCAACTACTTGGAAGTCAGCCGTCCTGTGGGCCTGGACTCCCTCGGCCTAGATGTCAACGGCAACTGGCGCACCTACATGGAAGCCTGCGTCACTGGTCTCATGAAGGAAACCAAAGACGGGTAAGGTGAATTTCAGCCCTCTTCGCTATGTTCTCTCTCTGGCCTGATCAAACACATTTTTCTTTTTTTTTGCCATCTGTTATGGTGAGAATAAAGGAGCAAACACCGAGTATATACGGTACTCGTAGCCAGGACCGGACCGACCCTATTTGCGCCACCATAGGGGGCGCCAAAACAGATTTTTGGAACATGACAAATTTGCACCTTCTACTTATTGGTAACTGGCGCCCAATTGGATGCCGAATACACATGCCTGTGGCACCCTTAGTCGAGCGCCACCTGGGAAATAGACCATGCAAATTAAACGGGGTCTAAATCTTGTTTTGGTGCCCCCTTTATCTTGGTGAATTCTTTTTTTTTTTTTTTTTACAAAAACAGCAGGCCTACTTCTGCATGCCATTCTTCAATTCTGCCAAGCAAAATTTGAGCACAGAGTGTTTAAATGCTCTCATTAAAAAAAAGAAGAAGAGGCAAAGCAGCAGTAGAGGCAAAGAGGCGAAGCAGCACTCCACTAGATGAAGACATGCTTCATCTAGTGGAGTGATACCCAAACTGCCATACATTTAGTTGATTTCCATGCACACCACTTTTCCAGAAACCAATCAGTAGAGAAATGGTGTGCTTGTTACAAAGATTTTTGGTTCGAACTTTGGTAAAATATTTTTTGCGGAAGTCAAACATGTAAGGAACAATATAGACTGGGTTCAAATAATAAATCAAGATTTAAGATGCCTGAGACTGAATTCTTCACAAATTACAGTCACTTTTCGAAATATCTTCCCTGTTCATTTTATCCAGCATAGCTAAAACTCTGTACAGTAGCATCGCAGTTAACTGAAAACTTAATAAGTTGTCATAGTGCACAGAAAATTGATTTTGTCAACTGCAAAGCTGAAATTGGCTAAATAGTACTTTGGACTTATAACACTCCTTTGAAGAATGCTTCATGCCTTTTCTCCTCTGCGTAACAAAAAATTGTCAGCACACTCCATTGAAAAAATTATGTCAAGTTTAAGTTTTCATCAAATTAATTCAATTGGCAGCTCTTGTTAAATAGCTCCCGTTTGACAGTTTCAATGCCCTTGTTCATACCTGGAATGGCAAATTTTTTCAAAAGTATGTGAAGCTATAGGAAACTGAAATCTTCATGGGTGTCTTTCTCAATGATAAATTTTTTTTAAATCGTCTACCAAAAACCTTTTCGCACGTTACAGAAGGGCATGTTGTACCAATTTATACACGAATTCAGTTTGGATAATGCCCAATTTCATGCTTATACATAAGTTTCATTGGCATTGTTATAAATTGCGATCATTCATTTTGAGATGATGAAATGATCATGTGTTTGCTTGCAAAGAATTGTTGGATGACTAAACAATAATTATCATTGGCGTGAAATAATTTTTGCAAATTCAATACAGTTTCATGGAATGCGGTTTTCTATTTTGGTTTTTTGTAAGGATACGAGTATACAGTATAAAAATCCCAAAAATATTCTTCTGATACCTTGGTGAAAAAAATTATGCTCTTATCAAACCTTTCTCATGATCCGCTCTCACCCAGATTGATTGTGATTTTTGTCTTCTCAGTTTCATTCATCAAATGTGCCAACATTTTAATAAGTAAGAGGTTCAGAAATAAGTCGCATACAAAAGCAGTTCTGCTAATACAGTATCTGCAAAATTATATTTTACTTTGCTCTTGCATCAGAACTTCAGAAGACATTGAAGTCAGTTTGTGGGAAGAGTCAGGAAATGTCATGCCCAGTATATTTTAACTGAAAACATGCCCATTTTCCTTGAACAGATGAATCATGTAGAAAAATATCATTTTAACCAAAAATTGCTCACAGCAAATTCGTTGCTTTAGGTCCTGTGCCCTATACCCTGTGGCTGAAATATTTTATGATTTGCTGTACAACAAATTTTTTGAAAATCATGCTTGAAGGCTTCATCATACTGTAACAAGCTATCATTGTTCTTTAATGTCCACCCGGACACAGTTTGAGTTCAGTAAATTTTCAAAAACATCTTATGCTCATTGTTTATGTTGTTGTTATGTTATGTGTTGTTATGGTGGTTGTTATGTTCATTGTCAAAAGGGTAAAGCAAGCACCCACAAATTATTCTGAGTGACAATTTGACCCTGAACAAAACTCATTAAAGAGTCATGTTTGTCACTTTCTAGCTAAAAATTCTCTTTTGAGAAAGTGGATTCTTCTTCAGAACAAAGAATCTATATAGAAACAGAACTTGCACTGCAAATTGAAAACAAAATAATCAGGCTGGCTGGACTGGAAAGGTATGTAAAATAACAAAATTGATCATACGAAGAACGATCATGAAATATCATTTTGTTCATCAAACTTTGAGGGTCCCAACATTTTTCAGCACAGAAAAATTCTGTTACAACAATTTTGGGGAATTTCTTAAATAATGGAAATTTTCTGGAATTAGCAGTTTTATCCTTCAAACCATGAAAAAAATGCATGGTCCCAACAGAACCCTTTTTTTGTGCCTTTAATTCAGTAAAGAATGATAATTTTCTCATTTTCATTGGCATGGTATACACTATACAGGTTGTTCCAGTAGTACTGTAATAGGTGTTTTAGTTTTCTGCTGTTTTCTTTCCATTAGCGAGCAGCGCACGAACCAATGGCAAAGATTTTATCGGCAAGTAGAGAGATTTTTCCGACGGTAGGGCGGAATAGGTAATTTCATATTGTTCCCACATTGCAGAAAAATATACAGTACATGTAGGTTTTGGTCCATCCAGACTGAGAAAGGAAATTACTATTCCTACAGTTGACGTGACGACTGTTGAAATTTCCAGTCATCCCGGCGGGCCCATAATCAGCACTGGGATTAAAATTGCAAGAGATGCTTTTGTTTGCTTTCCCCGCGTATTCCATTTTCCGTGCAATCACTGCAGTATGAAGCAGCAGCAGCAGCTGTGTATTCAATTTGCACCCTGTCCACAGGTACAGCGTGTCGAAATACTACCGATGGGTGGGTCTCGCGTGCGGAGTACCAAGCGTGTCTGTTCATTTCAAGAAGGTTGGGGACGGGCATCCCCTGAGGCTGTGGAAGATTTCCACCGAGTGCGACGCGCCGCCGGTCAACATCATGATCCGCATCTTGAAAGAAAGGTGAGTGAATATGCTGATGGCTAGGTGGTTGGGATAAATGCTGCCGCGATCAGCATCAGTAGGAAACAGGAGAGATGATACAGTATATGCTGGAGAATGTAATTCCTGGGATGTACTGCTCTATGCTCTATCACTGTCCTGTGTATCTCATCAGCAGGAGGCTGCAAGAATTCAAACTTCCATGAGGGACATTATTCAGAATTGAATGATGAGCAGTGCTGGTTGTCTTCCGTTATTCTGAATGAATTCCTTTTTTCATCTCACGTTTCTTTTCCTATTTTTTTTCTGCTTTTTATTCATCCTACTGTAACGCCTTCATATTTTATACTGCGGATGGTTGCTGCAGCTCACTACCCACTACATTATTGTCTCCAATTAATCGACGTTACGAAGAGAATGAATAATCAATCTCCACGTTGTATTGTATTGTTCCCTCCTTGTTGGCGGGGGGGGGGCATTCTATTATTGACTGTGGTATCTGTATTGACAGGCCATTATGGGATCACCACTTGCTCAAGTGGAAAACAATAGCGAAGCTTGACACCGACGCCGAGGTGCTACAAATGGTTTCTGCAACCATGGAACCTCACCCACTGAATGAATTTCTCGTGCTGAGGTACATATACGTATATACAGTATTGAGCATTACTTTCATCATCGTCCTTTCTCGTGCACTACAGCTGATTTCGAGATGTTTTCAAGGATTGCTTGCAGCACTTGCACTACCTGTCTTATTTTGCCGTATACGTGCTGCTTGTTCAGAATAATACTGTACTTCTGTTCTTCTGTATCCCTGCTGCTTCTGATAGATTCTGGCGGGGACAACTAACGACTGCTGGTGGTTGTGCTGTTGTTGAAACAAGCGTGGAGCACGATGCTGCCCCTCCACTGCCCGGCACTGTGCGGGGAGTAGTGCTGGCATCTCGCTTCCTCATCGAACCGTGTGGCAGTGGGCGCTCGAGGGTGACGCACATCTCCAGGCTCGACTTGAAGTGAGTTCAGCGAGGGTCTCGTTGTACTTCCTTCTCTTATTGTATAGACGTTTATACTGTACAGTGCAGTCTATACTGCAGTGGTGCACGCAGTGCTTTCTCGCCGGATGCATCATGCGTGCGTCAAGAATAACTCCTAGTACTGTACAGTACTGGCAATCATCACCGGCATCACGCAGCAGTATCACTCTCCTCCTGCTGGTTAGCCCAGATTCATTTCCCCTTGAAATGAAATCCAATAATATTACTGTATATGCTGTATATAGGTCCCAAGGCTGCACATATTTTAATTGCAAAAATTGTTTCTTTTCATTTGATACACAGCAGTAGTACTGCAGTAGCCCCCTATCCCTATATATATATATATATATACTCCATATTTTTATGATATTGTGTAACAGTTGCAGACAAATTAACTGCTGAGTGGATTTTGCGTGGATTTTTTCTGAGATCTTTAGTCGAATCTTGGTAGTGACAATGCTGCATAAGTAATACAGCACGTCACACACAAATACTGTACAGTATTTGACTTGTCAAATTCCCTCAACACTGATATGGTGATACAAGTGGGATCCATGGAGTTTTTTTACAAACTTGAACCATTCTCCAATAAAGTTTGTTAGCGAAATCACGTTTTCACTTGAGAAAGAACAGGAATGATTCTAGAGCCTTTGAGATGCCCAAAGATGCCAAGGAAGTGTGACCTAAAAAATTGAGTAGGCCTGAAATCCAGAAAATTTTCCTGGGGAAACGTGACAGGAACTGACTCAAGTACAACAGCCTGATAATACAAGATGCTGGCATCAACCACCTGGTGTTTACTAGATCCCCATTATCCACAGCCCCTGTTGAATCCATTGTTACTTTGGGATGGCCCCTTTCCATTGTCAAACCCATGGTAAGCATTTTTGGTGGGTCAGGACATCTTTCAATTGTATCTGAGTAAAAAAGAAACAAACTATCAAAACAAGTGTAAAGTTTTGAAATATTTCAACATTTTAAATTTTAAACTATGTTAAGTTTGCTGAGAAAGCTGAACAGATTCATACCACACAATTTTTTTTTTCTACAAACTTTGAAAAGCTGCTGTATTCTTACCCAGTCTGTGTTTTTGCAAGTGGAGGAATCGTCCACTTTTTCGCAGTTGAAAATTATGCAAACAGGTGACTGAATCTGCAAAATACTGCATGTTAGGAATGAAATCAATTTCAATGACTAAATAAGAAAGCCTAATCAATATTGAAGGGGTCTCGATGATTTAGGAAAAAAAGACCACGATTCCGGTGGCCGAGGAAGAAAACTTTCTGCTGGTGTCAGTCACAAGACTCGCAACTCACAAGTCCGAATGCCTCGTCGTCTTCCACATGAGCTTTGTAGAGCTAATACAGTAGTAGAAGATTTTCAGGGACAGCGGGGCAATAAAACTCGGAAGGAATTCAGCGTCAAGAAGCAAATTGAACATCGCATTTTCAAGGAAAAATAATGTGTTGGAAACCATGCATGTACTGTTCTGTAATCAAAAGCAGCTGCATGCATGCACAGCAAGCTATAAAATAAATGGAATAAAATTGCCTGACTGAATTTTTAATTGTAATCGGAATGGCAAACATAGCCGTTAGGTCAAATTTGTAGCTATTCAGTGTTTTGGCACAAACGCTAGCTGAGACACCAGAAAAGCCTTTTCCTTTGGCAACCGGAATCATGGCCCTTTTCCAAAATTTCCTGCAATATGATTCCCAAAGCTTATGCAAAAGATTCTCATTGCTCCCTGAAATATTGATTTCAGCTTCTCATTTATTCACAGAGCTTGTCATTATTCCAAACAAGATTTTGCACATTTTGAATGTACAAAAACTTTCGAAGGGCCTCAAAGTGGACTTTACCTTTCAAAATTTGTGAAATTGTATTTGTTGATGTCGACACTCTTCTCTTTTGCTTTCAAAAATGCCCTGACCAAGAAAAACCGATGAGAATAAGTTAAAGTAGGGTCAGCCCAGAGTAACAATGTATTGAATAGGAGCCATTACTGGGGTTTGGTATCCAAGGTGGTTTTCACCAGCATCCCTATAAACATGTTTAATTCATCTAATGTGAGCAATAGCCAAAATTTTTAAATGATTTGAATGTATTTATGCAAAACGTCATGCTTGGTGCCTCAGCCACCCAGACAACTGGCTGGCTGGCTGATTGTTTCTGTCCTTGAATATGAGAAAAGTCATTGATATCAATCAAAATGGAACTACAATATTCTGCTCTTCGCTAAATTTACTGTACGTACCACTGGTTTAGTACAATTCCACAAAATTTCAATTCTGTAAGCACAAATGAATAGCGGCGGATAAAAATGCTGCCAAATGATTTTCGGTTCCAGAGAATGCTTCATTTGATCCCCTTTCTTACGGTTGCAAGAATTTGACGATGTACCTTTATTGAATCGGAGAGTTTTCCCAATTAAAGGCAGCCTTGGATATTTCTGGAGTCAGTGTAGCTGTAAAAAGTTTATACTGTATTTTAGCCCATGATGTAGTTAAGTTCTGGAATATTTTTTTAGATTTTCATTTTAGAAATTCAGTGTGCTTCATAGAAATGCAATGCTTTCTTGTGAAATTTTCAAGTTGTTTCAAGGTTTTTTTTTTTCTCAGAAGAAAAGTAAAAAAGGCTTGCTGTTTTTCCATAGAGGGAGGGTTCATTAAAATTTTAAAACAATTGAATGAGTTTCATTGCTTTGCTACTTAAAAGTAGAATGGTATGATCAGAAACACGAAGGATGCATGCGATTGATTTGACCTGCATTCTGAGAACTTTTGTTCCGGAAGGAGATGGATAACCGCTGATTCTAAAAATTGAACGGTGTGTTTGAATGTGGGTATATAGATAGACTTTCAATCTGGACTGCAACAGAATTTTCAATTTTAAAAATTGGGCCGGGTGTACACCTTAATATTTTAGATGTTGGCATTTCTCTGGTTCTCGTGAAACATTTCAAAACGATTGTACGGAAGGTCGAACTTATTGAAAGCTTATCCTCACCTGTTTCATCAATGGATCAATGAGAAAAATTGCGCTGCTCGGAAATCAGGATTCGGGTAGAACAATTTCAGATTCATTCACATTTCAAGTACAGTAAGAAAAGTGAATGTGAATACAAGTCAGGGTTTGCTATATAGCCTGGACAGGTGAGGCTCAAATTGAAAATGTTCTCGTCCAAAGAATAGTCGATAAGTCGGGGCCGTTTTTAACCAAGAGAGCCGACTGGATTTTCTAATTCACTTTCAAACCTGTATACAGGACTGTGTGTACCCTGGCTCACTTTTCCAGAACCAATCATCGGAGGCTGGGCAACCCTCATTCCAGCCTAATCAACTTTCTGCGAGCAAGCACATGACTCATTGAACTCTGCACTATACATCCTTGGGTTTTCAGCATACAGTATTCACCAACCCATGCGGGATTCTGTATGCTTGAATCACACGATGTATAGCCTATTATTTCAAAACGCATGCACTTCAAGTTCAACTCATTTTCATTCCACTAGCATGCTTCAATCCGTGTTGCGGTGTATATAGTATTGGTGCTCAAAAATGAAAATATTTCATCATTTATTTCCAATTTGTTCTGATCATGTAGATAGACAGGTGGCACATTGCGTTTTACTACATATTAATGTATCAAATACTTTACTGTAGTACATTTCCTATGCGATTCATTTCACTAGTGAATGAAAATCGGAGTAGCATAGCAGAGACGTTGAGGAAGAGGGCAATAAAACTCATACACTACAGTATACGTATATGCAAAATTTGGAGCTGTGAGATGATCTTCGGTGAAGAAGAGAGGCGTAACTCTCGGTGAAAATGGACCTAATTTTGAAAATCTTTCAGGGGACATTCAGTTGAATGGTACAACAAAAACTATGGCCATGTTGCAGCATCAGCACTTTCCAGGCTGCGAGAGTCATTCCAAAGCTGTGCAGAAGGACCAGAAACCAAAGTGTAGAGTTATTTTTGCAGCGGACATGCGGTCCCTCGACGTGTCTCGCCCGTTCATTTCTCTTCATGCAGTGTTGAACTTATTGTTAGAATTCCCATTTTTCCGATGTGAACAAGAAATATTTCTTCTCCGTCAAAGTATCATTAAAGAAGGCAGGGCATCCTGGCTCGACTACCGTGTACCTGATGAGGGCCCAAAAAATCGACATCATGCATCAGGTTATATATTTTTTCCTCCAGCATCAGTCACACGATTTAAAATCCGACTGGGGTCTGAAATATTGCCAAACGTCATATACACTTATACAGTATATTGCTTCAAATGAAAAGAAAACATGAATTACTACGGTTATAATAGTTAGTGTCTGCATGGATTGCTCGCACTTGCCGTTATGATTGTTCTGCCTTGAGAGGAAAGAAAAAAGCCAGCTGTGATTTGTTCGTTCGAGTTGATGATAATGTTCCGAAAAATGTGCGTCTTCCCTCCCGGTGAACGGACTCTTGATTAAATTCGGCAAATGAAACCCTCGCAGCATCTGTGCTTGCGAGTCCGTCTGCATCATGTGCACTGCCGACTGACGTGTGCTAGTCAAGACGGCAATTATACTTGGTTTTCTTCAATTCAACTGGGAGATGCGACGAAAGCTGTAATGTTCGGCTGCGATTTTATTTTTACTGAAGGATCGTCGTTCTGGGTGCGTGTTTCGAATGCATCGCGTCGTCTATTATTTGATGAGCTTATGCTGCTGCTGGAGAAGGGGGCTTGTTATTTGTGGGAATCTTTGCTGCTGGGTATGAAATGCATGCCACGTTTTCCTTGTTTTCCACAACGACGATGCGTACTGCTGTACTGTACATGTTACACATTGTGTGTTTCAATTTATCTAGGATTATCAACGAGTTGATACTGCTTATTGCATGATACGGCATATACTGTATATGTGCTGCTGATGGGCATTCATCCCTTTTTCAGGATAACAGCAGCAATATAATAATGAGGCTCATCGCTGTGGATAAAAGGCGGTTTGCGTCACAATAGTCCCTATGATCTCGCATATAAGGCTTCAAAAACAGCTTCTTTTTCGTGATTCCACACATCCTTTTATTTGTCGGAATGCAGCTGCAGTTTCCAAAGTTTGGAATAGTGTAACAGTACTGTAGTATATAGGCCCCGATTTGCAACTGTGTGCTGCACACGTTGCGTACAATTCACTCGTATGTGCGGAGTGAATACAGTATAGTCGCATAGAGCGTTCCTTCATTTCTCCAACACGAAATACGCTGTGTGAACCAGGTCCTTGTTGTCATACGACTCGACGACTGTTTGAAGTTGAAGAAATTCTCCGGCAAGGGTTATGTTGACGAGTTCGCCTGGGCGGAGGATGAAGCATGCCGAGAATAGTGCCAGCTCCAGTTCTGGACTGGCCCCGGAAAAGAAGCCAGTGATGGGTTTCAGGTGTCCATTCCAATCGGACACGATTTCAAGCATGACTCCCTGAAGATGAACAAACAGCACGCGTGCAGTATTAATTGCTCGAGTACGTTAATTGATGAACGATACAACGATACAATACAGCTGTCGAAATGCTGTTGTTGTTGCACATGCAGTTCAGCCACATCCAGCAGGAGGTGAAGCACACAATAATGTATATATACGCACAGATTGTGCGTTTAGTTATACTGTATCAGCACATACTCATTGTTTTATGAAAAGAAGCGCTTTAATTTATGATCAACCACGTTGATAAATACGAGTACTGTATATTCATAAATTCAGGACAAGCTTATTGCTGCTGTGACACTCGCTAAACATGTGATTGACGAGTAGAAAAAATAGAAAATGTCTCATTTGTCAGATTTCTGCAAAGGAAAGCAATCCAAGCTGATGCAGCAATCACGTGTGATCCTCGGCAATGGAATGAACACTGATAATCATCTGTCTGATGGGTGAATGTTGGAAACCATGCTCTCCAGTACATGTGAACTATCATTACAGAAGGTACTAGGAAATCCCGCATGGATACCGACTATGGAAAGATTTAGCATTTTTCAAGCCAGCCGTGTTTCAATTAGTGTGCACGAGACATACACGAAGCAGTTGGTTTTGTGCCTTGGATTGAATACATTCAATTCTTTTATTCTAGCATGGGTTTCATGATTGGCAAACTTGGCCATGCCCTGTGCTGCTAATGGTCAACCAGCATCAGCAGTATCTTGTTAATTTATGTCTCACCCTGCTGCACAAGTGTGAAAAAAGTACAGTACATCAGTACTGGCTTTCATGTGAAAATATAAGCCGAATAGCGTTAAATTTCATTGACAATAGTAGCAAATTTATATATGCTAATATCAAAGATGATACGTAGATAAAGAGTATACAGCTGGCTGTTGTCCTCCAAGTTGCTGCTCTATATAGCAAGATGTGCCTGAGATATAAGACCTGTCCTGAAAAAGCTTCCGAGCCTACAGCTGAGAACACATACTGGCTTCACTTGCACACATCTTGCGGTAATATTTACTTGGCTGAGTTTTCCAACTACAGTACTGTACAGTATAGGCGTTCCATTACTCGGGGAATTGTTGGTTTCTATGTACAGTACTTGATCGCCCAGCACATCCAAACGATGCACGCGGTTTACTGATGGTTTTCTCACGACGGTACCATGCAGATTTCAGGGGTGATTATACTGTTCTTCATACTTGACACACCTTTCCTGGGATTTCCTGGGTCCCGAGATACCCGTAGTAATTGAAGCCACCCAGGTGCTCTTCCATGTTGAAGAACACCCAGCCGTGGATGCCAGCAGACAGCGTGTCCGTGTACTCCATGATGAAAACATGCTCAAATCCGGATGAACCCTCCGTGCATTGTTCATCAGCATGAAGGCGGGTGACTGCTGAAAGTGCTGATGCATTGCGACAGTATGGGTCAAACCACATCTCCTTCAACCTGTCTCTGAAGGATGCCTCGGAATGGAAAATTCCTGGAAAAAGAGGCGTGAAAAGCAAATTTAGACTCAGCCACGGCATTCATTTGCTTGTGATGTACGTATGATAGTGCCCAGCATGCAGGAGGGTCATGGTGCAGCTCCTGGATTACTGCTATTGGGTTGGTTTATGAGAATTGCTCAACAGTCGTGCAGTTATCAAAGGCAGACACCAATTCTTTTCTTTTGCTCTTGAATACTTCATCAGTGTTTAGTACATGTTCAACCCTCTACCCAGCAACAGATGGAAGTAAGAGAAAGACATCACGATAATGAATGCCCTTGAATGAAAAAGTGAAATGAAGTTTGATCAAAAGCACCTGCTGCGCACTTGCATCCTCAAAATTTGGTGCTTACAGCCCGGTCTGAGTGCAGTGGAGTGTTTATTATTGAGAATGACAAAGCATGTTAGTGATGAAGCTTTGGGCCAACTTTTCACAGATGGAACAACAAATTCAACAACGTCCATTTCCTCATCAGCAATGCCGAATAATGTGAAGGATGTCCCACATGACTTTCAACCATCCAGTGAGCAAGATGTTGCCCATTTGGGGGCCATAATCAAAGAATATCTTTGAAAAAAAAGAATTGCTGTGACCCCTTGATGGATCCCTTGGCTTTATGGAATATCCTCACTAAAAAACTTGGCTACACTCAAAACTGTACTTGGAAAATCCCAAAGATTTGATTCGGGCACCCTCACAGTGGCAATATAGTAAGAGTTACGCGCACCGTAACTAGGAAGTCCTCACTCTGGTAAGCAAAGACTAGGAATGATGCAGACACTTGTTGTTTTAAATGCCGGTCTATTCACACACTGCACTATATACAGTATCAAGAGATCCACACTGTTCAGAGGTTCGCAATAGAATGAGGCTGGGCTGGCCTCTCACTGTACAAGATGGCCGGCGGCGGCATGCAGGCCATTGCGCCGGCGTGCCCTGATTGGGCGTGATGTCAGAACCAAAATACTGTCAAATACGCGTTGTTCTTGTTTGCGTGGGATTAATGGCCGCTGGCTGTTACTATATCTTGCTCACTGGATGGTTGAAACTTGGTACAAAAAACCATTTGTGTGTACATGTGTGTGTGTCAGAATGTGGGTATTAAACAAAATAGGTGCCTGCTTTATTTGGTGGAGCTAGTCAAACTTGATGGTTCTCTATTGTGATACAGACGTGAGAGGTGAAAAGACTCTTATTGGGTCTGACTGGGCTTTTAACGTATACTCTGTAAGAGAGCAACTGTATCAAATTTGTCCAGGCACAAATTTCATACAGTTGCTCTCTTGGATGAAACATGATGAGAACTGTTTTGGCATCTGCCAAAAACTTGTTCTTGGATGATTCTGTGCAAATTGGGTTCCATCCCAACTCTCACAAAAATAGGGAAACTCTATATGACCATAGGGTCATAAAATCCTGCAACAAGGAAAACCCATTGAAATGGAAAATCAATAACCAAAGAAATCTCCACTCAACATTTTCCACATCCTTGAAGAAAAGATTTCTTGAAAAATTTTCCTTCTCCTTCTTTTTAAACTTTGTTTTACTGAGATGCAGTACTGAAAGGAACTTGCACATCCATGTTTGAAGCTTGGGATGAAAACTGAGACTTGAGGAACTGCAACACTGAAGGATAAGCTGCAGGATATATTGATTGATTCAAGACCACAATGAAGACCGGAGTAAGAATGAACTGTCAACTGACCGACAGAGAACTGAGTGGAAGACTGACTTAAGACTGGAAGAATGATTGGAGACTGCTTTCAAGGAAGACTACGGACTGACTCTGTGCATAATGCACAGCCCTTTTTATACAGGCCAGAAACACTTTGGGATTGAACAAAGTTCATCCTCACTAAATCCCCCTTTTTTTGTGCATGTTTTCACTCTGCCAAAGTTGCCCCTCCACCAACAAAAAGTTGCTTTGGAACGCAGCATAGTGCGTCCTGCTAAGTGGGCTTTCTTTTGTGGCATAGCGCGTCCTGCCACACAAACTGTGGTGGAGGCAGGACTCCATCCTGCCAATGCAGCACAGCACCTCTGCCTGGCACTGGCTTGCCACCCAACAGCAAAGGTGCTTTCGATCAACCCTCACTTCAATGCACTTCATTGGAGGGTATTTACTGTGAGGTTTTTTTCTTGCTTCCATCTTCAGCTGGGTAGCTGGTCAAACATGCATTATTGACATTCTGACATTCTGACCCTGATGAAGGATTCAGAGGCAAAAGAAAAATATTGGTGTCTGCCTCAGATGATGGCAGATGACTGTTCATCAATTTTTATGAACAACCCCTTGGATTATAAATTGCTTTCATTCAATCAGGGAGGAGAAGGAGGAGGAAATGATAGCTTCATTTGTGAAGTGGGCAAATGATGGTGCTTAAGCATGGAGTCAACATGGCATCTTCTGGATTCAAATTTGAAGCATTAAAAATACTGTGCAGTAATGGATTCAATGTATTGGTGTATTTTTGCACATGAATTATGCTGGATAACTTCCAAACAATTTTGCTTCAAGGTCACCTTTCTCACTGGAGAAGGGGAACATGAAATGTAATGAAAGAGGTAAATACAAAAACTTGAATGCTGTTTAAATGAGTAGATATTCCTCCCTATCCTCCTGCGCCTTGTGGAATATGAGAACATCAACTGACTATAGCTGCTTTTTACTTGAACAAATTGAAACTTTATAAATAACAAATCATCCATGCAGGTCTGTGTACAATATTCTCGTGTTTGAGAATTTTAACCCTTGGGCGGCAAAGTCGGACTATTTTCGCAAAATTTTTTTGCACCTCAGGGCAGAAAATAAAAAAAAGGACAACAGGGATTTGAGGACAAATTCAGGGGAAAATCCGATGTTTCCTAACACAGCCAAGATTTCTCTGTCTGTGTTAGGGTATCTGGACTCAGCATCATTTAAAGTCCTGGAAGCACACCCAATCAGTACTTCCTTTTTACCTAATTTTTGAGTCAAAACTGCACCCACAGCTAAAGCTTAAGCATCAGTAGTAAGAATAAATTCTTTTGAGAAATCAGGAAAAGATAAAACAGGTGCTGTCAAGAGACACATTTGCAGATCTTGCATGGATTTTTGCTGGGCCTCAGTCCAATTGAATTGGACATCTTTTTTCAGCAAATTATATAGAGGCCTTGCCCTGATGGCAAAATCCTTAATGTAAGACCTGAAATATCCAACCAGGCCTAGAAAAGCCTGGATCCCTTTGACATCTTTTGGGATTGGAAAATTCTTGACAGCCTCAACTTTGGTCGGATTGACCTTGATTCCTTCCTGACTGATTAAAAAACCAAGATATTCTATCTGAGTTCTGAAAAGCTGGCATTTGCTGAATTTCACCTT